GAAAAAGTGAAATTAAGGTCTGAAGAGGTGGTTCAGCACCAACATGACAAATTAACTCCAGTTAAGAAGGTACAGCCCCTTCTTCTGGCCTTCATGGCACCAGGTACACATGCAGTAAACTTTACAGGCAATACATTAATGCACATATTTAAAAATAATCATTTTTTAAATTAATGTATATTCAGAAGCTAATCTTATTTCCAGCTAACAAATTATTCATATTTGGTTTTTGTACCCATATAAGAAGTTAAAGAGAATATTGGTTAAGAATTAACCATGAATAAAAATAGAAGACTTAAGAAGATGAAAATGATACCCCTGCAGGGCTTGTTATAATCTGTGGGGGTTAAAAAAAAATTAAGCACTGAAGAAACTGAAGACTAAGATGAAAAGATCAACAGGAGAACAAGGCCCTCAGAATCAACTAAGCAGGGCTCCTAGGGGCTCACAGAGACTGAAGTGGCAATCACAGAGCCTACCTGGGTCTGCACAACCATGTTGTAGTTGTTTAACTTGGGGTCTTTGGGGAACTCCTAACAATGGGAGAAGGAGCTGTCTCTGATTCTTTTTCCTGCTCTTAGGACACATTTCCCTCTTATTGGGTTGTACCATCCAGCCTTGATATGAGGGTTTATGCCTAGTCTTATTGCAACTTGCTATTTCATGTTTGGTTGATATCCCTGGGAGACCTGCTCCTTTTCTGAAGAAAGTAATGGGCTGGGGAGGAGGGGAGGTGGGGGTGGGGTACTAAGAGGAATGGAAGGAGGGCAAACTGTGGCCAGGATGTAATGTATGAAAGAAGAATAAAACAAATTCTAAGAAAGAAAAACCAAACGGAAAGATTGCCAATGCTCATCTATTAGCAGGATTAATATTTCAAAAATAACTATTATTAAAAGCGATTTACAGATTCAAGAAAATCTCCATTAAAATGTCTATGGCACTTTTCACAGAAATAGATAAAAGCATACTGAATGTCATAGAGAGCACAAGTGACCCCAGACAATCAACAATCCTGAGCAAAAAGAACACAACTAGAAACAGCAGAGGCAGCAGAAGCCCTGATTAAAGTATAGTATACTGCAAAACTATTATAACAAAAAAAAAACAAAAACAAAAACAAAAAAAAACAAAACAGCATAGCATTACCTCAAAAACAAATATGCAGATCAGTGGACTGGAAAAGAGGACTTAGCCTCTTTTCCTATCTCCTGATAAAATATTCTCATGAAAGAAACTTAAGACAAAAGAGATTTATTTTAGCTCCCATTTCAAGAGATCACGGTGGGTCACTTGGGGAAGCAGGAGCTTGACCAAATCTGCCACTGTCTGTAGGAGAGAGCCCTGAATGCTACACTAGGGCTGAGCTTTTAATCTCCATCTTATACAAGGTCCTTGTCCTTCTCACAATTAAGATGGCTCTTCTCTGATAAGCATGTCCAGAGACTCACCTCCCAGGTGATTCTAGAGTCTGTCAACTTGACAGTTAATATGAACAAGTTACCACTAGTAAATTCACACAGTTACAACTACCTGACATTTGACAAAATTGCCTAAATATACACAGCTTCTTCAGTAAATGATTCTGGGAGAATTGGATGTCCTTGTATGGAAGCATGAAGCTCCATGCCAATCCCTCACCCTGAGCAAAAGTCAACCCTGTTGTGATACATAGTATTTATGATTTATTAAAGCTTGTCCAAGGATTCAGAAGACAAAGCCAGCCTCAAACTATAGATCAGGCAGTGGTGATACACACCCTTAATTCCAGCAGCCACAGAGCTAGGCAGTGGTGGTACACACCTTTAATCTCAGGACTCAGGATTAAGAGATAAATATGGATCTCTGTTAGTTCAAGGCTATAATAACAACACAAAATTGATCCAGTCCTAAATGAAACAGCTCACACAAAGGTGATCTCAGCACCTGGGATCACACACCTTAAATCCAAGCACTAGGGGGGTAGAAAAAGGAGGATATGGCTGGGTGGAGAAAGGAATATAAGGAAGAGACAGAAATTCAGAGCCTTTTGCCTGAGGATTTGTAAAGACATGACTGCCATTTCAGCTGGGTAGAGATAAGATCTACAGGCTTGGCTGTTTTGCTTCTCTGATTGTCTGTGGCTTTAATAAATTATAAATAATATATAATCCATAACCCCAAAATACCCAAAGGCCTGAAACTATGAGACAGAAGAAAACAGAGTGAACACTCTACGACACAGATATCACATTTCTGAAAAGGACATCAATTGCTCAGAAAATTACCAGGAACATAAGATTTCATGCAATTAAAAACCATATAGCAAAGGAAAAAGCCTGTTGAAAAAGCCTACCAAATGAGAGAAAATCTTTGCTAGCCATACATCTGACAGCTATACATCTAAACTATATATAGAGCTCAAAAATATAAAATAAATATAATAGATAAATTAGTACTGAAATAAATAGTTCATTTTCAAAACAGGAATTACAAAATGGCCAATGAACATAGAAATGCTCATGCAAATTATCAAGATTCCATCTCATCTTAGTCATTAAGAAACCAAATAAGGGTGGGGTTTAGTGGTGAATGACTTTAATCCCAGCGCTCAGGAGACAAAGACAAAGACAGGTCAATTTCTGTGAGTTCAAGGCCAGCCTTGTCTACGCCATGCATTCCAGGTCAGCCAGGACTGCTAAAACAGACTATTTCTTAAACACTGAGCCATCTCAGGTGGGGATGATGTGGGAGAAAGAGGACCATTACACAGTGCTGGTGGGGATGCAAACTAGGCTAGCCACCATGGCAATTAGCATGGTGTCCCTCAAAAGTTTAGAAATATTGTATGAATCAGCTATACAACTTCTAGACATATACTCAGAGAACTCTAAGTAAACATACCACAGAGATGTTTGGCAGCACTAATCACAATAGCCATGTCATAGAACCTGTGATGTCTCTGACTGGATAAATAAACAAAGAAAAATACTCGGTGTATACACAATGGAGTTTTATTCAGCCATAAGAATGAAATTACCTTATTTGCTAGAAAATGAATAATCACACGAGATTACCATATTAAGCAAAATAAGTCTGATGCAGAAAAACAAATAATAGGTTTTCTCTTATTTGTAGGTGCTAGAAGTTTTCATAGATGCACAAAACCATATAGTAATAGTAAAACAGAATGGAGATGAAGCTCAGGAAGACCAATAGGAGGGTAAATGAGAAGGAGAACTAAGGGGAAAGAACAAGAAGGACATGAGAATAGTAGAAATATGATATATTTGAAAGAGACTTCCTTTGTGAACACATGAACAATGAATGCATGCCAGTTTAAAAAGTAGAAGAGGAAAAGGGGGAGAAGGTGAACTACAATGGTCCAACTGGTAAAGGACCTTACTGTACAAGTCTGGCAACCTGAATTTGATCTCCAGAACCCACCTAAAGGTGGAAGGAAGGAGAGAATCAACTCTACAAAGTTGTCTTCTGATGTTCACATGCTCACCTTGGCATGTATTCTCACACATATCATACATACATATGTACACATACAGATACACACAATGTTAATATCTTCTCTCTCTCTGTGTGTGTGTACATGTGTGTGTGCATGTGTGGAATACACATATGCTTGCATGTATATTGGCATACTTGTGTGGAGGGCTGATGGTGATGTCAGGAATCTTTTTCAACCACTCCTCCACTTTATTCACTTAGGTAAGGTCTGTCAATCACATCAGAGCTGCTAGAAATGCCTGGTCTCACTAACCAGCTTTCTTGGGATCTTTGGTCTCTGCCTTCCAAGACTGGAATTACAGGCAGGCCACCCCCCAACAGTAATATGGGTTTCAGGGATCTGAATTCCATCCAGTGCTCATACTTGTATGGCTTGTCCCATACAAGCCCATAGAAATGGTTTCACTTAATCTTGACTTAAGGTCAGAGAGTTTAAAACTCCTTACTCTTCCAAGGTTAAAGTAATATGTGGCTATTGTAGGATGTTTGGTCTTAGTGGTAGATGTCTTATCTAAATAACAACAGACTTTGTCTGAGGCATGGTTACTCTTAACCCTCAAGGCCAGATAATGAGAGATTTAGTCTAAGGCCTGGTTACAAAATGTTTGGAGAATTAAGGAAGAAAGTCTGTTTCTTCCTTGTATCTTGATAGAAGTTTTTTGCCATGTTCCCCTTTTTAGTTGAGGTATTTAAGAATGTTGAAGAATAAACGTGGGGCATTCAGTATTCACTGGATCACCCTTCTGACTATATCCTGTGTCTCTATCATTTCCTTATCGTCTTTACTTGCCATTTGTCAACCCACACTCCCCATCTCAGGTAGGAAATGGGGAAGTCGGTTGGATTTGACTGAAGCCCCACAAAAACAGGTTACGACAATGGCTGTATGTTAACTACTGAGATATCTCCTCAGACCCCAAAATAATACGTTTTTAAAATTAAAAACAGCAAAAGTCAGAAATGGATTTCATTTCCAAATATGCAAGTTAAGAACCATATTTATTATTTATTTACATTTTGAAGTCCAAAATTCTAATTACACAATCTCTAAAGTCAGTTTCCTTATATGTAAAAATGGCAACTTTCATAGCATCTGCATGCACTTGTACAAGCTGCTTGCATGAAGATGAAAAGACCTCATGCTATCAAGTTTGTATCACCACACATCACTCACAGCTAGAGACCACATTCCAAGTTCTAGCAAAAAAGAACCATATCTTCATATGCCACCCATGTCACTGCCACACCATTCAGTGCTTGCAAAATGCCAAATGCATTAGTCAGATGCAAAAGGAGAGGTCTGCTTCCCATTGCAGGCATCCAGCCCGGGTCAGTGAGTGTCCCAACATGCCCCTACATAAATCTGTCCAGGAAGGAACACTTAACAACTCTTCAGACCATCATGTAATTGGCTCATGGCCCAGGAAACATAAGGAAACACAGCTGTCCTTTCATATGGCCATTGTCTTCCTAAGACAAACATGTCTACCTTTACTTACCCGGAAGTAGTCACTGCAGGCTGCAAGGACAGCTTTGTGAGCATGGAATTTCTGTTCCTCAGCAATCAGGGTCACGTCGCAAAGAATGCCATCACTTCTTTGCTGATTCAGTGCTGCGAGCACAGTGTCATTGTGAGATTCTGAGTGGCACAACCTCTGGCCAGTCAGCATTTCTTGAATACTACAAAGGAGAACAAGGAAACCCTGTTTATTCCTTTACTCCTTTCAACAGCCCTGCTCCCCAGGGGCTCTCTCACCCTTTCAACCTTGGGGAGGCCACTTGGGATTCCAGTGCACTGTGAGTTTGACCTTCCCGTTCTGTTTTGCCCTCTATGCTTCCGTCTGTTTTCCTTTTCTCTGAATCTTCTTTGCCCATCTTTGTGCCTTTTACTTTTGCCAGCTCTCCTGTTTCTGAGTTTTAAATTTGAGAATGTCTACCTGAGTCTGTGGACCTATAAGGCTGCTTCTAATTCCCTATTTCTTCAGTGTGTGCCCATGAAAAACTTGCCATATGTATGTGTGGAGGTGAGTATACCCTCCCCCGAGTGTGCATGCATGTGCGTGGGTGCATGCGTGCATGTGTGTATGTGTGTGTGCGTTCATACGTGTGTGTGCATGCATGGGTGCACATGCATGTGTGTGTGCATATGTGTATGCATATGTGTGCATGTGTGCATGTGTGTGTGTGCGTATGTGCGTGCATGTGTGTAAGTGTGTGTGTGTGTGTGTGCATGTGTGTATATAGGCAGAGAGAATCTTCCTACTCTGTGACTCCCTCCAGCCTTCTCCAACTTCAAACTTACCATGTGTCTCCTTAGAATACAAATCCCCCAGTAAATATAAGAAAACTGAGCAAATGTCATTTAGGAACAAATTAGCTGCACAAGACCACCCTGTATCCAAAGCAGTCAAAACCACAGCTGCCCATGAAACTTGGGAAATTATACACCTCCCCCAAAGAATGTTGAAAGAAATTACTTTGCAATAAATGGGACATGGTAGTATTAAACTATAATCCCAGTACTCTGGACACTCTGAGGCAGGAGGATTTGAAGATAAAAGCCATCTTTGGCTACAGAGTAAGTTAGAGACTAACTGGACTACATGAGACCTATCTCATGAGGGGGAAAAAGTGTCCTTTGTAAATGAAATAGAAAAGTAAAAGTTAAAAGCTTAGACCATCAAAAATCTCTCCATATTACTCTAAAATCTCAGAACATGTACTGGGCTCTGAATAGCAAGTTATGCCACTATTAAGTTACTCCCAGGGGATGACAAGAGTGTCAAGTCCTGTTTTGAAAACTGAGTAAAAATACCCAAGGACAGCTGAACATGATCTCTCTCTATACCTGACAATTCCCTGACCAGTTCCAGCACAAAAAAAGTGTTATTCGTAGGCAACAACATTGCTGACAGCCTTGCCCATATTGTTGGTCTATTTGATAGGACACAACCTTAGTTGCTGACAGTCAATTGACTGGTAAATTATAGTTAGATACAAATCTCTACCTTAAAATTAACCAACTTCCTGTGAAACAGGAAACATCAGAAATGGAAGAACTATGGAAAGAATAACTTGACGGGAAATGATGCTATAGGAAGCTCCTGTGGGTAGGTGGGAAGGATTATTTTCAGTAGTGGCAGCTGAGTCTGAAATGTTCACGGCCACTGAATATTCATGTGTGGCTCCTGAGGTAGGCAGGCTTTTAAAACCACTATCTAAAAGTCACCTTCGGAAACACAAATAGTTCTTTATGGAAATCTCTATGTAAAGCCTAGAATGGAGATTAATTAACATAATTAAGTAAAAGAAATGGGGGAAAGAAACAGAAATATAGTATCAGCAAAGAATATGAGGATAGCCTGAAATATCTTTCCTAAAATGATGACATTTTACTAGATAGCAAACCTGTATTGCTTATAGTGCTCAGCCAATTATCCTATATGATTTATAATTATTAATTATAATTAACAATTGAATCTTCCTAGTAACCCTAGAAGGTTCTATTGATACATCTGTTTTGCAGATAAGATTCCAAGATTATGAACTTTAAAAACCTAACCTTAAGAACACAATGAATTTTCCTGATATATATATATATATAAAAACATAATCTGTAAGAAAGGTCTTCAAAAATTAACCCTTTAGGGTAATATATGAAAACACAATGGCATACAATAATCATAAAAGTATGTAATGGTGCTTTAAGACTATTCTATGTACCAGGTAAAAGTTTTGAAACAGAAAATGGAATTTTAGTGTTATAACTTTAGAAACTGTATCTAAAACTTTTATATCCTCCTTTCTCCTCTTTTATGTTGCCATGAATACATTTTGAAATAGCATTTGTATGGAAGAAAGATATATTAAAGTAACTGCCTTGCCAATTTGGCACACAATCCATGTCATTCATTATTAAGCCTGAATCAGTATTTACACTTAGATATCTGTTGAATGTGAATAATTCCTGGCAGCAGAAGAGCAACTGTGAATTGTAATTGGCAGAGACTGGAGGGCTGAGCTTTAAAACAATAGTTGTGACTCCTTGGCTGTACCCTCAATAGCTCAGCTTGAAACAGTCAGGCTTTAGAAACACCATAAGCTGACATTTAAGACAACAATTGGCAGAAGACCCTAAATATTTTAGAACCAACCAATATGTTATGAGCGCTTAAAAACAAGAAATAAATACTTTGAGATTTGGCAAGAAATAAAGGCCCAGTAATCAACAAGTACCAACAAGTTGTCTGCTATTCTCAGAGTAGCTAGCTTCCCACTCGGATACAAAACCACAGAAGATCTTGCCTCTGTGAATGTGATGTCATAGCTGCCCACAGCACACAGGCATCAGTCTCACTTCGCCTGGTTTATGCTCAAACACTGGGAGCAACATGAATCCCAGACTGCAGTGTACCATACTGAAACTAAGATGGGGAGCAGATGGAGACTTGTCTCTGCCCTCAAAACAAATGTCAAATCAGCAAACTCACCTCCCAGGTCAGAGCAATGTCCTTCACTACTGGGAAACACACACACACACACACACACACACACACACACACACACACACACACACACACCAAACAAACAAACAAACAAAAAACTGTTTAAAAAACTTTCCAATCCAAAGTGTGTTGAAGGCTCTACATTTCTCAAGAAAAATACAGGTTTAAAAATCTTCTTAAAATTGGGGAGATTCTTCCACAAAAGACATGGCACCTCTCAAAATTCACAGCTAGCACAAAGTGTTCTGGCTCCCCCAGTTTCTCTGAGGGAGAGGGGGCAAGTGCTGCATTGCCACCATAGGCTGCTAAAACACTCTATACAGGCTAGTATACGTTGAGATTTGCTGTTTGCTGTCAAAAATGATATGAAAAAGGGACCCAAAATGTCTCATTAATACTTGTATATTGAGCACATGTTTAAATTGTGACTCATGACACAGTGACTTATATGAAATCCATCACTAACATTAACCAGAACTGTTTCTTGTTCCTTATTTTAAGATGTAACTATTTCATACACATGCTTCCTATGATTCCCTTTCCACGCCCACATTTCACAGGAGTGCTATAAGGGTGCCAAGTGACTCCAATCAGGCTGCCAAGATGGAGACCATTCCTGCATCTCACAGGGCTGACCCAGGTACCTGGCATGACAGCAGGAAACACAGACTCTCTCAGCATTTCTAGTAAAGTCAGGGAGTGAGCACTAGACTAGTCACATGCCAGCATCTAACAATTCACGCACGTGGTCTCAGGGACTAGGATGACTCATGACTTTGAGCCTGCAACTTTCATTCTGGAGCTGATCACAGAAACTAATACATTAAATGCAGGGCATGCTTCCAACCTGTTCATTCTGAACCTCTGCTTTAGAGCAAATACTGAGTGCTCTAATCACAGAAACCCCCAAGGTCTTATTTTCATACATTCACTTAACTGAACTCAGGCAGTTTTTTTAAAGATGTAATAAAACAACTCTACACCTATATATTTTGCATTTCAAATTTATAGGCCCTTTGTGTGTATATTATAGCTTCTGGTTTTGTTTCTTTATGGAATTCTTGTGTGTATAAGCATTTGTGTGTCTTCATCTATATGTATTTGTTGTGCTGTTCTTTTATTTCTGTATTTATTTTGTTTTGTGCTATTCTGGGTTTTTTTCCACTGAAAATTACAAACTTTAATTAGATTTGATCAGAATCTACATCACTCACTTTGTGGGTAATTACAGATGCATTTCAACATATGTATGATGCTTTTGCTTAGCTTTAAACATATGCATATTTGTGCTTATTTTAACTCTTTAAAATTTTTTTAAACAATCTTTATTTTACATACCAATCCCAGTTCCCTCTACCTCTAATCCTCTCACTCCCCCCACCATTTTCCCATCCCACCCCCATCCACTCCTCAGAGAGGATGAGGCCTCCCATGGGGAATCAATCATCAAAGTCTGTCACATCATTTGGGACAGGACTGAGACCCTCCCTGCTGTATCTAGGCTGAGCAAGGTACAGCTACTTTGGAAATCAGTATAGCAGTTTCTCAGAAAATTGGTAATCAATCTACCTCAAGACCCAGCAATGCCACTCTTGGGCATATACCCAAAGGATTCACACTCAAACCACAAGGATTATCTTTTCAACTATGTTCATAGCAGTATTATTTGTAATAGCCAGAACCTGGAAGAAACTTAAATGCCCCTCATCTGAAGAATGGATAAAGAAAATGTGGTACATTTACACAATGGAGTACTACTAAGAGGAAAAAACCAATGGCATCTTGAAATTTGCATGAAAATGGATGGAACTAGAAGAAACAGTCTTGAGTGAGGTAACTCAGACACAGACTGAAACACACTGGATGTACTCACTCATAAGTGGGTATTAGTCATAATGCAAAGGATAACCAGCCTACAATCCACAACCCCAGAGAAGCTAGTAAACAAGGAGGACCTTAAGAGAGACATACAAGGACAGTTCCCTCCTCCCCCCAGAAAAGGGGAAATGGACAAGACTTCCTGAGTAAATTGGGAGCAAGGAGGAGGGGGGGGAGAAAGGGAGAGAGGAGGAGAAAAGGGGAGGGAGGAGGAGAGGAGGAGAGCATGAGAGGTCAGGAATGTAGAGTTGGAGGAAGAACAGAGAAGGAGAGCAAAGAAAGAGACAGAGGGAGCCATCATGTGGTTAACAAGAAACCTGGCATTAAGCAAATTCCACAAGGATGACCCCAATTAAGAATCTTAGCTATAGTGAAGAGGCTACCTTAAATGCCCTTCCCCAATAATGAGATTAATGACTACTTTATATGCCATCCTAGAGCCTTCATCCAGTAGATGATGGAAGCAGAAGTAAAGATTAACAGCTAAGCACTGAGCCAAACTCCTGGAATCCAGTTACAAAAAGGGAGGAGTGATGAGCAAAGGGGTCAAGACCAGGCTGGGGAAACCCACAGAAACAGCTGACCTGAGCAAGTGAGAGCTCATTGACTCTGGACTGACAGCTGGGGAATCTGCATAAGACCAAAGAAGGTTCCCTGAACATGGGTGTCAGTTGGGGGACCTGGGCAGTCTATGGGACTGCTGCCAGTAGAACCAGTATTTAGCCCCAGTGCATGAACTGGCTCTTTGGAGCCCATTTCCTATGGAGGAATTGTTCAGTCTGGTTTGTTTTTATTTTATTTATTATTATTCCTTAGATGCCCGCTTGTTTTCTAATGAGAGGTGGGGAAATTTCAGAGGAAATTAGGAGAGGGGAAAATATAATCAGAATATATTGTGTAAAAAATTATTTTCCATAAAATAAACAGTAAACGGATGAGGAAGAGGAGAAGGACCGAGAAAAAGGAAATGCAGCTGATAGAAGGGGAAAGTAGCTACTCTAGAGGAAGAGACACAGCCATAAGTTCAAATGGCAGCCCCAGTAATAGAGGCAAACTTTCAAGCTAGGAAATGAATTCACAGTGAGAGTGAAGCAACTAATAGAGCAATTTCACAAATGAAATGACTGCTACTGATAACAGGGTCTGTGGTGTGGCTACACTACTTAGTACGTGGCTGGGTGGAAGGACAATCTATCCGCAGAAAATCATGCTTAGGACCCAAGGGCCATGAGGCTGTGTGGATCCATAAATAGTCTGTGCTGAGGAGGAAGACACAACAGAAATCGTGGTCTTGTTGCAACAGTTCCAAATGACCTGGTGGAAGAGTGAGAGGAGGGGAGACGGGGCAGGGAAGGAAATGACTACACCATGGAAGATATGGAACTAGCATGGTAACTGATTAACATAAGTGGCTGACTTAGGTAAGAAATCCCTTTGAGAACACACACGGATTCTGGAATCAAGGAAAAAATTATTTGTCTGAGGCAGTGCCATATACATAACACAGTCCTCTCATACTGTATTGGCTGGGCACCAGATCTAACACAGGGCTTTTGGGCCATGGTGTTAACTGCATTGTGAGTGTGCTGGTTTGAAAGAAAATGGCACCAAAGGGAGTGGCACTATTAGGACTGTGGCCTTGTTGGAGGAAGTGCATCACTGTGGGGGCGGGCTTTGAAGTCTCTTGTGCTCAAGCTTCCCTTAGTGTGATAGTCAGTTGGCTTCCTGTTGCCTGGAAGATGTAGGACTCTCAGCTTCAGCACCACATCTGCCTACATACTGTCATGTTCCCTGCCATGATGATAATGGACTGAACCTCTGAAACTATAAGCAAGCCATCCCAATTAAATGTTTTCCTTATAAGTGTTGCATTAGTTTTGGTGTCTCTTTACAGTAATAAAAAACCTTAACTAAAACACTGGGATAGGTTTGGTTTTTGCTCTGAGGCCTCTAAACATACATTGTACCCCTATCCCCAATAATAAGAAATACAGTTCTTGAACAACAAACCCTAATCCCCCATGCTTATTTACCTCTCTCTTTTTTAAAATTCAATATATTTATTTACTTTACATCCAGTCCACAGGTTCACCTCCCTCCTCTCCTCCCACTCTTCCTCCTCTCCCCTATTCCATACCTCAATCCAACCCCTTCAGTATTCATTCAGAAATGGACAGCCCTGCCATGGGCATCAGCAAAGCATGGCATATGAGGCTGCCATAAGACCAAGCACCTCCGTCTGTATTCAGGCTAGGCAAGGCAATCCAGCATGAGGAAGAGGTTCCCAAGAGCCATCCAAAGTACCAGGGACAACTCAGCTCCCATCTCTGGAGTCCCACAAATAGACCCAGCTATACACCTGTGACATGTTAAGAGCAATTTTCCTGATAGCCTGGACCCAGTGCTGTGCCAGCCCCAAATAACACACAGAGACATTGTATTAGATGTTATGTTGTTGGCCTGTTTCTAATGTTTCTTATTGGCTAGTTCTGTCTTAAATATTAACCCATTTCTATTAATCTAAGTATTTCCACATGGTCTTACCTTACTGGAGAGAAGGCCTGGCATTCTTCTCTCCATCCTACATTTTGAATCTCCTCCCTCCTACTTCCTCTCTCCTCCTTGTCTCCTAGTCCCACCTATCTTGATTTCCTATTGGCCAACAGTGCTTTATTCATTAACCAATAAGAGAAACATATTTACAGAATTGCATCTCCTATCAGTCACATACATGCAGAGGACCTAGGTCAGTCCCATGAAGGCTCAATGATTGTTGGTTTAGACTGTGAGTTCCCATGAGCCAGGCTAGTGGCTGTGGTTTTTCCTGTGATGTTCCTGAATACCCCCTACACCACTTCTACAATCCCTCCTCCCTCTCTTTATCAGGACACCCAGAGCTCAACCCAACATTTGGCTTTGGATCTCTGAATTTCCTCAGAGGGCTTTCAGATGACAACTGGGGGTGGGGGAGTCGGGAGGGGCAGTCACCAATGAGATCACAGGGGATGGCCAGTTCAGGCTATGCATTCACTGCTGCCAGGAGCCTTAGCTGGAGCCATCCTTGTAGACTCCATAGGAGTTTCTCTTGCGTTAGGCTTCTGCCTGACCCCGTAAAACTCCTTTTCCAGTCAACTTTTACAGTACTTTCTCCCTCTATCCATTCCCAACCAGATTCCTCAAGTACCCATGTCTACCCATGCCAAGTCTACCCAGGAGATCTCTTCTATTTCCCCTTTCCCAGGGAGATCCATCCATCCTCTCTACCCTAGAACCCTTCTAGTTACCTAGGCTTTCTGGGTCTGTGAATTTTAGCATGATTATCTTTTACCTTACAACAAATATCCACTTATACTGGACTTTCCCATCAGAACATTTTCACAGTGTCATTTGCATTGCTGGTTGTATAGCTAATTATTTAACATAGAATACACAGTTTAAGGCAGGATAAATAAAACTTGATATTATAACTGGTACTTTACATCAAGTTGAGTGTTTAGCTAAGTGAATATTCAAACAAGATATTATCAGGAAGTTTTGAATCCTCTCTAAACTTAATGCATTAAAAGGGGACAATATTCAAATGCATGCATAGTTCTCTAAAAATTTTTATCATGTACCTTTCTTTATAGTGTTATGTCTTTTGCTCAAAGGGTTGGCATCCTAAATAAGAAAAAGACAAAGAATTGTGACTCTTTTCTGGGTTTGATCAAGATGTCTCAGTGGTTCATCCTTGTTCCAAATGCCTAAATCACAAGAATTATGACTGTTTTGTTTATTCAGTTGGACTGAGGTCAGTTCCTGCTAGGTGCTCAGTGCTGCTTTGTGACTGACTAGTTTAAGCTCAGTAGTTTGAGCAAGGGCATTGTCCTTCCTTCAGTGTGTACCTGAGACAGCGTTCGGACGGCATTCTCCAGCTGGGTCCTCAGAGTCAGTCTTAGAAGTTTCCAGAAGAATTTGCAAGCATTCCAGCTGCATTAAAAAGGATAAAGAAGAAAACTAAAGTGAAACAAATGCAAAGAGCTTTTTAGGAGTCCATGGCACTGATGCTTCACAACACCAAGGAGAGGCCTGGAGACCGTGAATGCTGGTGTTCAGTATCTCCTCACCACATTCCTTTAACATGCTCTTAATGTTTTTAAACATTCAGGCTTTTTACATTACTAGAGACTCAAGCAGAGGAAGTGTGGTATGTCTGAGACTCGACAATAGCTGACTAAAGATTAAAACAAAAAACACCAAATGATCATTGGGAACAACTAAGATTTAATGAAATACAACTATAGTGATCTGAACTACAGATATCTGTTCATGGAAATTTAGGTTTCCTTCCAAACATGACTAGTGAGATCAAGTTTAAACAAAGTACCTGTTGGGTAAGTATATACATAAAGATAGTTTTTTACTCAAGGAGATGGGTTCTGAAAACTCATGGAAAAATCAGCATACAGAGAGGATGGAAGTGAGGAGGGAATGAAAATGTTTCTAACAGCAGCTTCAACGTTAGCATATGAGAGTAGATGTACTTCAGGCTTGGCGCTCCTCAGGTGTGCACACTTGTCATCTATCCTTGCTGTCCACTCTTGCCTTTGTATTTATTTAGTGATGTAACTCTAAACAGAAAATAAATTATTTCAACATCTGGAACCTGGCTCATGACTGCAGTTCACAACACTCACTCGAGAGCCTAGCTCACATTTTGTAATACACCCAAGTGGCAAAATTAATTATAATCTGAATAAGCTAAATAAGGTTCCTTCTGTCTCAATTTTATTTTGAAAATCATCAGTAAAAGGGTAAAAGAAAATGCAAATGAATGGGATGTATTAAACTGTGCCTATTTCTTCTAGCTTGCATAACAAAATATTTGTAATCTGACTAAATACAGCATTTGTTATATTATAAAAAACCTACAATTGGTATGATTTTGAAATGCCTAATGTAATGTATTGTCTAAGTATTCTGTTATTATTGAATATCGAGCTGTTTCTAGGATTTATTTCATACAGTTTGCCTTTTTAGTTCTTTTCTTTTTAATTACTATAAAACTGGTTTCTAGTGTAAGCTCTGGCAAAGACTAAGGTGAGCATCACTCTCACTTGCTCCATCAGGGGTGAGCAGCACAGATAGATAATTCTAGACACATTGTTTAATTGGCTGAGAGACCTGCTAAAGAACCTACTACTGCTATAGTTCCCACTCAGAAAGTGGGTTATAAGCTCTATGTATGATATCAAACATAAACAAAGGTTCACACTTGAGCTTTGAAATGGAAAAGAATATCTATTGCAGGTAGGCAAAAAAAAAAAATTACTCTTTTAAAAATCCTATGGTTTTTTTTTTAAATACTTCTCATGGAGAAAAGAATTTTAGAAGTTAGGGTAACTTTACCATTAAAGTATATATCTAATTTAATACATTTCAAACAGTAATGGAAAAATCATAAAATGAATTCAGTTCCCTGCTAGAGACATTTACTGTTTGTAAGCCAACATGGTAAATTAGTTCTCCAAAATGATCTAAGTATGACCTACTATATCCTACATAGTTTAATTAAATGAACAAAACATTTAAAAGGGAGTCAAAATGAGTTAAAGATGTATCACCACAAAAAAAGTTTGCTTAGTATTTATAATTAATATAATTTTTCTACATAATTTATACTTATATATTGGTATAAAAATAAGATTTATGGGCACATTCATTTGTCTTATGAACAGTTTCACAGATAGGATGTGTGTCCACAGCTTCCTTCTGCTTTTCCCCTCTTGGAACCTGGATTCCTTCCTAACCTATGACTCTTTCCCATGAGCTGCAGAGACCTTGATCAGTCTCTTGTCTTCTTCTTTAGAACCCTCCAGATTCAGAGCTGGGAAGCCTGGTGGGACATCAGGAAGCACATCTATATAAAACCAGGAAGCTGTTGTTCCTCAGGCACCAAGCTCTCTGTGACTACCCACAACACACACTTAGGCACATCAAGCACAACCTTCAGTGTGATGTCCAGTTGGAAACACAAGAAAAGGCTCCCTTGTTTGAACTGAGAGCTGTCACTTTGAAGGGCGCTTAACTGTGTCTATCTGCTACTTTCTAAGGCCATGGTGATGTGGGATGTTCTTCTGTTTATATGTTTCTCTTATTGGTTGATAAACAAACACCGTTTGGCCAATAGAGGCAGTAAGATAGGTGGGGCCAGGAAACATGGAGAATGCTGGGGAGAGAGGAAGAGAAGCCGGAAAGAGATGCAATGTAGCTGCCAAAGGAGTGACAGGTCCAGGCATTCTCCGGTAAACCAAGACCATGTGGAAATGCATAGATTTATAAAAATGGGTCAATAATTAAGACAGGGCTAGCCAGTAAGAAGCCCTAGCCATCAGTCAACAGTTTATAAATTAATATCTGTGTCTGTGTGCTTATTTGAAGCTGAAGATAGGTGGAACCTGGAAAGGAAAGAATCTCCTTTACAAATGAGTGTGCTGATGAAGTTTTGCTTTTGTTTCACATTTTGCTAATGTAGCTAATGTCAAATACCAATCATTTTTTATTTCATCTTAATCCATAATAGTTTGAAAGGAGAAAAAAAAGTCTGAGAGGAAGATCATGAGTGTACTTTTAACCACTGCCAAATTACTTATAATAATGTCTTTGCTAGGAAATAGTTCTGCTATTTTATTGTTTAAGGAATGATGACAATAAAATATCTGTTCATGCTTAATAAGACATATTTTTTAAAAATATTTCTAACCTGAGGTCACATGAATCCATGGATATTGAACCCACAGACAGAGAGGACTAACTACAACAACACAAGTAGAAAGCAGTGAAATCAGGTCTCCAACCCAGTAGATTACTCACTGAGTCCACATTTTCAACCTCAGCTAGAACTAAAAATGGTTCAGAGTCCAGGGCACAGTTACCCTACGGTGCTAAAGAGCCTTAAGGCAGAAGAGTTAATAGTTATAGATAGCCAGTTTTTAGGTCAACTTGGCAGAGGCTAAAGTTACTTGGGAAGAAGGAACCTCAAATAAGAAAATTCTCATAACAGATTGGCCTGCGAGCAAGCCTGCGAGCATTTTTTTTTCCCTTGATCACTGATGTGGGAGGGCCCAGCTCACAGTGAGTGGTGAGTGATGCCATCCTGGGGCAAGTGGTCCTAGGTGAGATAAGAGAGCATGCTGAGTAAGCCATGAAAAGCAAGCCTGATAAACAGCATTCTTGCATAGCCTTTGTATCAGCTCCTGACTCCAGGTTCCAGCCTCTACTTCTGACGCTGATGTCCTTGCATAATGAACTAAACCTTTTCCTCTTTAAGTTGAATTGGTCCTGGTGTTTTATCACAGCAATGGAAACCCAGACTAAGACACGAGGTAGTGAAGGCTCATTACAGAAAAGGTTTCCTGTCATTTATGGTTCCCTAAGTTAATAAAGGAACATTTCAACCACTACAAGGAAAACAGAACAAACCTAAATGTTCCCAGTCCTGATTTATAGAGGACTTGGTCTATAGCCACTGGCTGTTAATGTCTCCCAGGGACCTGAATCATGTCCCCACACCAATTCATACGTGGAGCTCCTAACCTCTGATACCTCAGTGATAAGACTTTTAAGAAGGTATTTAAAATGAACGGTCACAAATGGGAACTAATCCAATTGTGTCTGCAGACACACACACAAAAAGTTTAGGGCACAAATGATTGTTGTGTAGCAATCTCCAGGGAGATAAAAACTCTATCTTGGAGGAAAGCTCACTAAGCTCCTGTAAGTAACCCACACCAGTAAAAACTCATTGGTTTCCCCCATTTGGACTTCAGTGGTGTCATTACTTATTGGTCTGTCATTGGGTTCCTATCTCTGGTGATTACATAGTTGTTCACATCTCCCCAGGAGTAGTGTCACATATTACCAATTAAGAAGAAAGTCTCTTTAAAGACAAAGATACAACAGTCACAAGTAAGCATAGGAGGGAGCCCTCAGAAGAAACCAACCTTGCTGACATGCTAATCAAATGTCTATCAATCAAAAAGATATGAGGAAGTAATTCGGTTGTTTAAGCCACACCCCCTGTTATATTTCCTATGTCCATACTTGTAAACCAATGGATATCCAATCCCCCTCCCCCTACCCAGGGCAGGGTACAGTTCTCATAACATGGATCCTCCACTCAGGCTGCCACTTTGCCATCACTCTGCTATGTGATTAAAATCAGCTTGACCTTTAGCCATTTCTGCCAAGTCCTCCCCAGTTTGCTTCAAGTTACTGTGGCTATATCAGAAGCTATATCAAACCCAATGACTACATTGCCCTCAGGTCCGTGACAATCTATGCTCTGCTCAGATGAAGTTGAATCATGGGTGACTGAGAAACTTCTGACCCATATGTCCCATTGACCCACTGGAACATCTGGCTACTAATTTTGCTTTTTCTAATCAGTGCTCATATTTCTTTGAGAAGTTAAAACAGACCAGTGTTCACAGAAATTCCCTCCAGAAAGTTTCTTAGATCCCCATGTACATGGTTTGCTTATTCCATGAGAGCCTACTCCTTTGTTATATAATAACCATAGGGGTCCAAACAAAGAGACTAGAGTGTGGATAATATCAAATCCCAAGCCTGCCATGTGGCTAAATCACGGGTTACCTCTTAACACTACATCCCTGAGGCTGAGCTGTGGACACGCATCACTTCCTAATAATGTAAGATAGTGATTTGTTTTTCCTGATCAAACCTTCTACCAAGCTTCAACCTATCATGGAAATCCCCACCAATCTGACACCTATGAAAACAAGTATATGAACCTGCTGTAAGATTCTGTCCTCTGTAAATGACATGGCCATTGCTACCTCAAAATCAAAGAAGTATAATTACCTGCACTCACAAGATCAGGTTTAGCAGCATTCCCTTGTAGGAGTATGTAGGAGTTATCAGATCCTCATGTGACATTACAGACACAACCAACCCTGCGGTCACTGTGGCTT